CGTTTTCGTATTGCTGCACGAAAATTCGCCGAAATATAACCTCTCGGAAATGATATTCGTCGAACGAGGGGAACGAGAGTGCTTTGCCGAAACTCGCGGAAACTAACGAGCCGGGGCTTTTCATCGAGGCCCAAGGTCATTGTAATTGGAATAACGAGACCGAGTTCGACCGGTATCGCACTCTACGAAATTAGATGCAAACTCGACGTGTTCATCAAGCGGTCGCGCGATACATCTGCGTCATTAATTTGTGAAATGTTTCGAGAGCGATTGACGACAGAAGGGGAGTACGCGCGTGTGTATGATTTCCGCGAGAAAGACTCGATTTCAAGGTGAGGTTCTCGATACTCTCGTTGGAATATACAACGGAATGGAATGCAACGGAAACGGATAAATTCTTTCCCTTTTTTCTTGTTTTTTTTGTTCAAGTTCCATTTCATTCGCAACGCGTGCAAAGTTGAAACGACGACAAACTGTGATCGACGAAGCAAACTTACCGACAACGGTCAAACGGAATTGGTGCGACTTGACTGGAATGGTGGAGATTTGACATTCGTAGAGTCCCTGGTCTCTCTCCTGCGCCCACTTTATGCAAAGTGTCCATTCAGACCACTCGCTACTTTGGCCTGTGTTTTGTCTGTGAAGCGCTTGAAACCGCTGATCACTCGTGTAGGTATACGCTCCTGCCGTTAAAATGTGAATATCTCTGTGTCTCACCCAGGATACCTTTGCAAACGGAATTTCAGAATCGTGATAATCGAGGAAAAATCGAACACAGACATTCGGGTGGCTTTGAAAACACGCGAATTCACTCGACAACGATATACTATTTCTGTCAAACTTCAAACGATACACCGTGCAATTAATAAGAATGTGGGCACCATTTCTTTGAAAGGAAATATTCCTCTTGTAAAAATTAAAATTTTGCATAGATCAAGAGTACACCTGAAATACTATTACGCGCTCGATTAATAGTGTGTTCAATATTCATCACTGACGATTATTGAGCGCAACGAGACACGCTTTCAACCACCTCTGTCGAAATCGTTGCTTTCAAGAAAGTATATCGAAAAACGTTTAGCGTGGATCTACGAAAATGTCGGTCGTGATTGTAGTAATGTCGTCTTTACTGACGGATCCTCTTTTCTGGCAGACGAGCTTAGTCCATGGAAATCCAATTGTTCAGAGAACTGTCAACCACCCAATAAAAGTGTATGTTTAGCTTTAATGTTCGCGAATTTGGGGCTTTGCAAACAATCGACACGCTCAGATGTCGATTAAATTGTACGAAAGAAGACTTTTAAAGTCTGTGAAATATTTAAAGAAACCAGTCTTAGGTAAATTTTATGTTATTAAATATTAAATTGTTGTTGATATTATTAAATTGTTGTTATATTTTCATTTATTAATATATTTTATATTTCAAGTTGTTAATAAATACCACACAAATTGTTATGTAAAGTAAGTATGTAAAAATGTTACTGTAAGTTAATGTAAATTTTATGTACCTATAAATTCATCATATTCGTTTCATTAAAAAAAATGTTTTTTCCATACGCATTTGTAATGTTTAATTTTTTAAAGCTTTGAACAACAAACGATTGTACTAAGATGTAATATTTCTTACATTCATACCGTAAATAGCAAAATTTCGTCAGCTACAGACTTTTGGAAATTATATGCCGTATTCAGCTAAATGTTTTGTCCGACTATCGCGAAAGTATTAACAATGGCAAACCAGAGTCGTTAAATTCGAGAAATAGCATGATCGCTAGTGGTGGAGATTGGACACACTATTAATCGAACGCGTAATATTTTGGGACCACCGTCGTACTATGCAAAATATTTTACAAAAAGAAAATTCTTTTTCAGAGGAATGTCATCCACGTTCTCTTATTAAACACACTGTACCCTCGATACTTTTGAGTCGCGTACAAACTCAGCAGATTGTTCATTCAACGGACACGTTGTTGGAAAATTAGGCTACTGAATATTTGCAACATTACGACGAAACTTTGGAAAAATCTTTCAAAAATTCTCGCAAGTCGCGCTACGGGGCGATAAACGGTGCCGCTTGGTCAATGTTTCAGGTTCGTTTCGTTCGTGTCACACTGCTAAATATTTCAAGGATTCACAGGACGCGAGGTGAGAAACTCCGGGGCGCTTGCGTTATCTGCAAATATTTCGCGTTCTACATAATTTACGTACAATGCATAATTCGTCCCGACGACGGGGACATTTAAACTTTGGCTACTGGCGAACTTTGACATCTTCGGGGACGACGGTAATTTCATCAGCCGCGTGTGTGCTTGCCACAAGCCGAGCTCTTACCGGCGAGAAAGTAATCCAGCGAACTACCAGGAATTCTACCGCAACAACAAATTCGAACAAATCGAATCGGCCATTTGTTCGTTCATTGCCGCTTTCATAGCAAAGCCAAAAGAGCCAGTGATTCGCGCGCGTTTCGACGAGACTCGCGAATGAGTACGCGAAGAATTTCATCCGGATCTCTCCAGGACCGCTTCGTTGTTTCACAAAGGAGAGCTTTCCGCGGCAACCACGACTATCAAATAGAATTGCAATTTTGAAAAACGCGCACGCTAACTGGTAACTTTCTTTGAAAGGAGACGATTCCGCCTGCATTACTTTTCGTTCGGGCTCTTTCTCGACGGTAACGTCGTTAAAAGGAAATTATTCAAAGGGGGGGGGGTGGATTGCTCGATTTCTTCTTTTTTTCTTTTCTTTTCTTTTCTTTTTTTTGGTCTTTCAATTAGAATTGCTTCCTTTGCAAGATAATCCTACGTAATCACCACTGGCCGGTCACGATATCTTACTTGGGCGAATTGCTTGAAAGTTGGCGACAGAGATCGCGTCGGAGCGAATTATTTCGTAGGCTATTGGCGCGAGAAATTGACTTTTCCATCGAGGAACTATTAGCAGCGCAAAAGGGAAAAGGTAATCGGATGACCGACTCATCCGGCTGGGCAATCTGAATCGCTTGAAACGCGCCAGACCGAGGCACGGCTTCGATGTTCATGTTTAATCGGACATTAATAAAAGTCCCGTTGATTTTCTTTCCCTCAGTCTACAATCGGCTCTAATACCACGGCCTCGAGAATTGAGATTCCTCTTAATTGCCTCCCGACGATCCCTTTAAAGGACGCGACGGAATTTTCTTCTTTCTTGCTCGGTCGTTCGCTAGTTGAAAGGTCCCTCGTGGCAAGCACGAAAGTTCCGTATTATTAATTTTGAGCACTTTTAACCCTGCTAAGGGCAGCCCGTTCTTATTACGACTCGAGCAGTTGTTAAGCAATCGATGTCCAGCAGAAGAACTTGCGCAGGTGACATTGTGTAAACAATGAATTTTATTGGTTTGTCGACCCGCCGTGCACCCGGCTTCTAACAAAACGCCCGTACAATGGCCGCTGTCGAAACAACGGCGAGAGCATTAATAACAGGTACCGAAACTTGCCGCGCAAAGTGCCATTTACGTGAGAAAGCCTCGCGAGTCTCCAAGTCTCGCTCGTTCGCCGATACATCCTCCCCTGGTGATTCGTCCCTCGATGTAAACCGAAAGTGTCAGCTATCCCCGGCAACTTTAAATCTGCACGTGTTGGATTGCACCACTTAGCACATTGGCTCGAAGAAATTTATGTCGGTGAGGATTCTCGTCGGACGAACTGCCGCTTTTCATGTAGTTTTGACATTTTCGAACTCGACCATCGAAACTATGAGAACACGTTCGATATGGTGGATGTTGGACGTAACTCGAAGTTTACATGTACGTAATCGCAAATGAGCTTGACTGTTTTTAAGTTGGCCAGACAGTAATTGCGAGTTTTTCATGAGAAAGAAAATATTAATATGTAATGTAATATAATATAATTAAATATATTTATATTAATATTAGACAATATATTGGCCATTTTGTTCGATTCGCCATCTTTGTGATTCCGCATTGGAAAAGAGTTCTTGTCTTTTTCGTCATTTCCAAAAACATCGTCAATTCGGACATTGCTGTAGTTCGAAAACTTTTCCACTCTTTTGTTTCATAATTTTTTTATGACCCTTTTTCCCCTTTTCGAAAATAATACAGCAAACTGATCCAGTTTGGAATCGGCAGATATCGTTACAAATGAAATTATAATGCAAACCTAACCTAAACCTAACCTAATGGTAACGTACACAGAAATTCGAAATAATATAGGAATGGTTCGAAATAATATTGAAAGCAACGGTTTCGATAGAATAATATTGAATATAATATTGAAAGCAACGGTTTCGTGGTAAGTCGAAAATAATATCGAAATAATATTGAAAGCAACGGTTTCGTGGTAAGTATGTCTCGTTCAAGCAATAATCGGTGGAGATTGGACACACTATTAATCGAGCGCGTAATAGTATTTTAGGTGTATCGTTGATATGTGTAAAATTTTTTACGAAAAGAACATTTCGAATTTTATTTCCAAAAATTATTTCTATTCTTATATAATCGAAAAGAATATTTTTCTCTCCTAAAGAAATGGCATCTACGTTCTCATTAGACGTACTGTACGTCCATCTGTTCGATAAAAAGACAATTACTTTCTGGCCAACTCGATCATTTTCCTGCTTATAGAAACGATTCGGCAAGACGTTTCGGTAAGTTAGTAAATAACACGAAAGAGGCAAAGTACCCCCGGTGGCGTACAAAATGGCGAGGATCACGTATCGAGGAAATCCGTATGACCTAGCAATTCGGACGTCGAGCAAATGGAATTTCACGGCTGACGCGGAACAACGAATGAAATTAAGGTACGTCGGCCCTCGACTGTATAATGAATTTACTTAATACGGTTTACACACTGCGAAATATCGAAATTGAACGGCCTTGTTTCTACGGTACGCTCGTGTCTCTGCAGCCACGATCCTGGTTCCTTCTACCCAGGATCTTCGTTTCCCTCGTTCTTTCGCTGTAACTTTATTTTGTATACTCGCTAATCAAGCCCGAGCTTGTGTCTACGAGCCATTCGCAGTTATGAAACTTGAAGTCGAGGGAAATTCAAGTCGAGAGAAGATTTAATAAACAACTAAGAAGTAGACAATTTAGCCTAAAGATCAACGTCTTTGCTAATGAGTTTCATTGCTAATGACGATCTCGGGGGTGATGATCGATGAACGATGACATTCCTACGTTGCCCTGTGTCTGAACGATAAACTTGTTGCGGAAGTGGTAAAACACGTTCGTTACCTTTATGAATATCGATTCGCGCGCACGCGTATGTTATGAACGCGATAGCGCGAAACAGCGATCTAAGAAGCTGATAGCAGGAAACTACTTGTCGAAAATCCTCTTAGCTTCATCGTGACGTAATACGTCTGCCAGCTAGTACAAACGTGAAACTTGGTAACAAAGTTGCAAAGGTGTAACCTCCCGTCGATGGAATAATTCGTGACCGTGATCAACGCGTTATAACTCGAATACTGCGCGAGTACCTTCGAGCGTGTTACTTTCGATCGACCGACGCCCGTAACCGCCCGGAACCGCGAGTTGCGATAAAATTGAGTTTCCAGTTGCCTTGAAGGTCGATTAACGTCCAATCGAGCCCGAGCAACTCGATTATTTCCTGCAAATCGCTTTCCTAAGGTCTTTACGAAGATCGGGTTTCCTCTCTTGTTCGGCTCAACGGTGTATCGGTCTTTGTCGAGGTTACCAACAAATTCTGTCGAAAACTCCGTGGAAACATCCCCGTGGAAAGATATGCGAGCGAGCATTTTTCTGGAGCATTAAGCTGTCGCTGGCGATTTCCCGCGTTACGTCCGTTGTTGGGGAACAACCATCGAATGGAAATAAATGTTCGGGAAGACGGGAGAACGATTGGAAATTGCCTCAGACGGGAATGGGGCACAAATCCTTCCCGGCAGCGTCGACGGACAATAGAGATCGAAATCGGATGATCGATGAAGCAAAGGATCTTACGGTCTTGTCGCCCAGGTTGCGAACTCTACACGTGAGATAAGCGGTCTTTCCTATCAGTGCTGTCACGTTGGTGATCTGCGAGTAGTCGAACGTTGGTTCCACCTTCGGCTTCAGCCCGGAAGGATCAGCCAACAACTGATTTCGCGGTCTGTTCTGACTCGCGTGTCGATCCATGTTGTCCATCGTACGGTCCCCTAAACTGAGTGTATCTGTAACAGTGAAAAGTTGCTCGGTCAATCTTCCTCCTTTCTCTTTTTCTCAGCAACGAATGAAATGAAATTGTTGCGCACGGTAAATTTCTACTCGTCCATCTATACGCGTACTAATCCGCCACGCATTCCTACTGTGTGTTGTGCAAGTAATAAGTTCGAAAATTGTTTTTCGTTTCGAGTGCTTTTATTCGCAACGTTCTCGTTACTGAAACGTTTTTCTTTCTTTCTTTTTTTTTTTTTTTTTTTTTTTT